CACTCCCAAATAGCAACCAGTGTAGCAAAAACGTATTTGTTAAGCAACACTGGAAAACACCAGTGCAGTTGATAAAGTCATCATATAATATCTGCACATAATACCTAGTTCCTGAAGTATAACTAAAACTTTTCAAAGTCTCTCCTGTGGCAAGGTGATTCCTAAGGCAGCTGGTTGCTATCTTCCTTTTGCAGTAGCACAGTACTCACAGGTCAGGATTCAGTCAGCAGTAAAGCCTAATTCAAGCCACGGCTGTTTTGGCATAAGCTGCCTCTCTGCTGCCTGGCAGTTCTCTCCCTACTCCACCTCCCCACGGTGGGTTTCCTCCCATCTACTTTTTCGGCAAAAACACATGGACCCCAGTGCTTGTACACACAGAACCCCTTCAGTGTTAGTTTTTCCTTTCCAGCTTAAAGAAGCTCTTCCAAAATCAGTCTCAGCCTTCTTCTTTTAAGGCTCAAGCTTTTGCATCCTAATGGTAGAAGCCATTGCCTGGCTACATTTAGGGAGTTTCGATGCACACCTGGGCATAATGAATCACATGCTGGTACAATGGAGGAGTTTTCACTATAATATGCCCTCTTTTTAACAGAAATTTCCCTCTTGAGAAAGAAATGTTCATGTTTCAGCCCCTTTGAGCCCTTACATTTATCTTCCCTTTCCTCCACCAGACTGTTCTGCTTGCTTTGGGATCCTCTTGTCTCTGAAAATCCATCTCTAGGAAGGGAGTCGAGGGGTTTTATTTTGCTTGAAACTGCAATGCTCAGACATGTGCAGCCTAAGACAAAAAAAAAGCAATAGAGCATTATTCCTCACCATGTTTGATCCAGCTCTGCTGCTGTGGCAGCATGGGATTTGAAGTCAATCCTTATGCTCACTAAAAAGGCTGAATCCTCAGTTGGTATGAGCAGGCACAGCTCTGCTTTCACTTAAGCACAAGATGTCTGATGAAAACTTGTCTTGATAGCACTGGAACCCAAAGTCAGGTGTCCCTGTGTGACCCCACATAGTCATGTAGGGAGAAGGATAAACAATACATTTTCCTCAAATATGCTACTCATTTCTTTTCCAAGAATAGCCCCTATAGACTATCCATAAAATAGCTTTTTCAGAAGCCGTTAATTGTACACAGAGATGCAGAAAATCTCCAAGGTACCATCAGAAAACAATGACGAAAGTCCTAAGCCCAAGAAAGCACATAAAACATGTCAGTTACAGCATGTGGAAACTCCTGCTGACTTCTTTCTGAAGAGCCCAAATCGTCTTAAATTCCAGGAAACTATTTGCTATTATGGGTTTGCTAATACTGATGAGAGATCAGGGTGCTTTGGGCTTTGCCTGTGCAAGACCTAACGGAAAGCTTTAACTGTCCTTCTTTTCTAGAGCCAACTGCTTGTTTTAATTCTCCTCATTATAGGCATATTCAAAAATGAAGACCTAGAAGAAATGTGAACTAAGGGTTCCCAAAATCCTGCAGCTCAGAGAAAAGTGCAAGAGAATTATTAGTCTTGCTATTTATTTATTTGCCTTGAAATACTGCCCAGAATGTCATACAACATGATAGAATGCAGGATCTGTGCAGATAATAATTCACAGTCTAAATGAAAAGACCAGCCAAAAGCCTCGCTGGGTGCTCACATCATGCCAGCCACTTCTTAGACGCTATCAACCTAGATGCCATAGCCAAGTCACAGTAAACACTGATCTTTTCCTTTTCTTCGTCCCCTCCTGCTGATTTGAGTTAAAGCCCATGCTCTGAAAGAGACACAGTGGAGACTGGAAAGAAAGTCAGACTGGTGACGCCTAGATACACAGGCTTTCCAGCCACAAAGCAGGGGCACTCCCTGAGCAATCCTACATTTGCAGGACTGTCCTGGCAGTTCTTTTCTGTCTTCCTTTATAAGGAGTTGGAAGATCTTTCTTCCCAGCCAAGGTTATGTGGAACCTGGGCTTGCCATACAGCAAAGAAACATAAAAAGTGTATTGTCCATTTTAAATGGGCTATATAACATTCTCTGCATGAAAATAAATAGTCTCAAGCATCAATAAAAGACCTTTACTAGTTATGGAAATGCTATTTACAACATGTCTTGATAAATTTTGTCTTCCCACTAAAACAGGAAAAGTGATGTGAGCTCAGGAAAAAAAATGGAGAGAGTTTATCTGCATCCTGCAAAGCAATCTCCCTTTTTGCTTGTTGCTGGCTGTAAGCTTTGTTAGGTGATTCATTGGGAAATATTTCAATAAAAGTATTTGCCAGGACACTAAAAATGTGTTAGATTTTGAACAGTACTCACAGAACCTATCCAACTGAGAAACAGTTGCTCTGAGGAGTTCAAATTCAAAAGCCATAATATTTTGTCTTAGAATTTCTTAAGGAAAATTTTAAGTGAAACAAGTGGCACTGAGGAATAATATGTATGAAGCCATAGGAGCTCAAGCCTTTTGAATTCCAACATGTATTTGCGGAGTGGCTCAGAAAACACATACTTGGAAGGTAATGCATCATGTCACTGCCCAGTTCTTCCAATTTCAGAAAGAGTTTCTATAACTATACCCTTTCTAGCCTGGGGATCTATACACTACTGTATAGCACATGCTCTAGATAACGTTCTAGACAGAAATGTTCTAGATAGATGGCCCAAGTTGCTTACTAATTGGGTGTATGCTGCATCATCACTTGTGAGGAGTGAATGCCATTGTACATAATTTGCAGTCCTAGAGCAGGTGACAGCTCTGCTCACAGTTTCTACTGCAGTTCTTCCCACCAGATGTGAGCTGGTCTTCAGGGTACAGCCCTATAACTTTCTTGCACAATGGCTGCGTAAGAGGAATCCCATTCTGGCAAGGCACAGGGCACTTCACGTCTCTGTCCCACTTACACTGCCTTTACCAGCTGAGGAGGCTTCAGAAGTAGCATTCTCCTACACAGGAATACAGACCTCCTACAGCAAGGTTTGGGGCAATCAGGAATCTGGCCAGAGGTCAGGTTTCACCCTTGCATGCTTTCTAAGTACATCCAGGACAACACTGAGGCCAGAGAGCTTAGAGGAGCTTTGCAGTCCCACAGGATAGACACAGCTTCCGCAAACACCCCAAAAAGCTCATAAACAAACAAACCAAGACACACAGACAAAAACCAAAACGCCACTTATTTCAGTCTTCACCGGGTCAGTGTATAGCTATACCTCTTACAGGTTTGGCACCACCAGCTAGGAGCAATGCCTTGTTGTAGACCCAGTCTATTCCTCTCAGCACCCTCACTGTTCAGTTGCTTGGATCCAACTTTCAAATCCAAGGGTACCAAATTCCCTTTAAAAATAACCTTTTTTTTCCTTTTTTTTTTTTTTTTTTTTAGCCAAGGCAATTATTACTTGTCATAAATCAGAACTGCCAGCTGTGAAAAACATTCAGTGCACTGTTCTAAAAATGCTTTATAATTGTTTCTCTCTACAGCAAAGAATTTTCTAAGTACTCTGTGGTGCACCCAGCCAGTCAGCAGATGTAGTGGGAAAAGTACTGATAAGACAATCTATTGCTATCAGTGAGAAGGGATGGAGCTCCCAGAGTGCACTCAGTGAGCAGAAAGTGCAGCACACTGGCAAATCTTTTAGGATTACATTAGAGATGAGGATGTTCAAGAAATACCATCTCATAGAATAGAAAATATGGTATCCAACAAGTTAAAATAATGCCTTTACTAGATCTAGGATGTGTTTCTTTGCTTTTAAATTTTCATACCATAATGAGGATGTATTCATGTGAAAAGAACAAAAAATTTTCTTTAGTAATTAATGCGTAGGAGAGAGTTGAGAATGAGCAGCAAGCCTGAAGAAGACATTGCTCCTGCAGATGGTATTGCCTGCAGATGGAGGCTGCAAGAAAGAAGCAAGTTGAGAAAAAAACCTCTTGCTTTAAGTAACTTCCTTGCAGTGTCTGAAACAGAGCTGGAGCATGGATTGATGAGCTGCTCGAATCTCACCTGTCAAACAATACACATGAATTCAGACAGACTTTGATTTGCAAGAGTTTCACATTTCCAGACTTCCCCTTTTATATTTTTAGTTCCAACAATACTAAAATGAAAAGAAAAAAAGAAGTCTTAAATAGGTGGGGCCCAGTAACCAGGAAAAGTGATGTTTCATTCATCTTTTGAGGCTTCTCTGAAGTTTGAACTTTTGGGGAAAGCTCAAAATGAGAAAAGTTCTGGAAAAATGAGCACTGAATGGCTTCACTTTGTTCATCTACCAAACAAAAAGCCAGTGGGGTAGGTTGATACTCTGTCTGTATGTTAAATGTTATTCTAAAGGATGATGAGTTCCAGGTTATTCTCCACCCTAGTGGTTGAGGAAGTGGGAATGAGGATAAGGGGGAGGAGCAGGGAAAATGCTTTATTAGCAGCAAAGATCCTTTCTGGATACTAAGGAAAAAGATTTTCTTAAGGTAGTAAAGGATCAAGATATGCTGCCTTTGGGTGTGCAGAAAACCCTTCATTGCAGTTGCTGAGAACAGTTAAACTGTGGTATGTCTTGGGAGCTGCATGGGCTGACTTGATCCTTCCTTGGAGCAGTGCCTTGAGCTAGAAAGTCTCTGGAGCCTCTCTTCAGCCTTTCACTCCCAGCTTTCTATGTGATACCCTGATGCAACATCGAGCAGGAACATTAGTTCTGCCTTCCTGTGGCCAGAGTTATAGTGGTAAATATCTGACTAGGGAATTGAGATGAAAAAGTCTTCATGCCAAATGACAGCATGGATGACAAAGACAGCCTTCAGGCCAGGACCTGAGCAATGAGAGAAAATAAATGCTTAGAGCAAACCCAGCTGTAAAAAGCAGCCCACAGTCTGAGCATAGGCAATACATCTTCGAGGGACAGGATTTCTGCAGGAATTAGTACTGCTGTCTAGAAAGGCACAGCTTATGCTTAGTAAAATGAAATAATCTCAGATGAGGCCCTGATTCTTACAGACAGATTTTGGTGGTTACACAAATGGTTACTTACACTATTACAAAAATGCTGGCTGTGGAGGTAGACTGAGTGATTCTAACACTAGGTCCCACTGTGCTGTCAATAAAATCAAAATGCTTCCAAGGGAGAAGAGCTAGACCAGTGCAGCGGAGCAATTCTGAAGCAAACAGGATTTTTCTCTCCTGCGGCAGCAGGATTTTCAAGCACTGGCTTCCCTGTCACAGCAGCAGCCACCTTTGGTGTCTCACCACTTTGAAGTCCTGCTTCTTTCTCACAAAGCACTGCGTTCATACAAGTAGTTGCTGACATTCAGTCTTACTTCTCCCCCAGGAAAGGAGAATGGATGTCACTGCTTCTTTGCTTGATTGCCAAGAGGTGGTTGGCTGTCGTTGTTCCTTCTTATCACTGAGCTCTTCTCCTGCCCAAACCTGTCAGCTCTTGTAGGCTATTCTGGTTTTGACAAAACACAAGCAGAAAGCAATCCTTCCCTCATACCAGGTAGCAGAGTCATGGTGCTCCTAAACTAGCTGTATCTTCTCACAAAGTTTTAGGATGAAAGGAATACTAATTAATCATTTTAGCATGACTAATGGCTGAGAGCCAGTATTTTCCAAAGTAAAATGGAAATTTGGACATTCCCAGGTGTGGGAAATACCTGGGAATACCAGCTCCATTCTCAGAAAGATGTGAGAACTCATACTTTGGGGAGAAATACATTAGGATGTGTGTCTGAATGTCAGAGGCCATTAAAAACTGAGCACTCCAATGCAGAGTTATTCTGAAGTCTAAGCACTATAGGCAATAAGCACTAAATCCAGACATTTCAGGTGGAAGAGCTACTCCAGGAGAGAGCAGCAGGCACTCCCTGCAGCCCTCCAGCAATGCTGACAGGCTAGGGTGCATGATGTATGGTGTGCTGTTAGCAATCAGTGTCAGGGCTTCAGCTTTGAAATGCTCATCAAACAGTTTAACACTTCAATGGAGCAGCATAATGCAATTCATTTTGAAGGTGCTCTATTCCCATTCAAAATGATGTCTGGGCCATGTTTATAGTGAAATTGCATTTTTCCTTATAGAACATGCTTTCCAGATGCTGAGAAAACGTAAATTCTGTGTCAGATGCTAACTCTCAAGATGGGTAATTTGGCTGCAAGCTGGCACCAGGCATGGGGATACATTAAAGACTACAGGAGAGCTCAGCACAGTACCGACGAAGGCAGGTCAGGCTGTGAACCTTCACACTCTTTCTCCCTTTCTGCATTTCTGCTCCATCCACACCACAGCCCTCTCGCCCTGTGCAGAACTGAGCGCTGTTCAGCTGCCAGAAGTGTCACACACAAAAAATAGCACTTACATAGCAGTGATTTATGCTGAGTATTCCCAGCTGTGGAGATCACACAAACGTACTGACAATATAGGATCAGCTAAACAAGAGCAAGGAGTATTTCAGCAATGATAATACAAAGCATGGCAAAAGAGAGGACATGCACAGAAACACACTTTCTTGCTGAGGAACCACAGAACATGAAGAAAATAGGTTAGGTATGTCCAATGCAGAGAAAAACATCTTAGTAATATCTCAGTTTGGCTCCATTGGCAGTCACCTGTTGATTCATCCGCATCACTCTTCCTCTTCATCCCACAAGGTCCTCATGCACAGGTACCTCTTTTCAACACCTTCAATGCTCTGTTTACCTCTGCCTCTCCATGCCTAGCTTCTCCTGCCAGGCTTCAGGCTGACCACACACTTCACACACTGAGGACACTCCTGTTGTCACAGAGTCCACCCACCCTCTTTTGTTCACCTTTTTCAGCTTATCCTCAAGTTTACCCCTGTGTTCACACTGGGGTGCCTCTGGAGAATCATTTTGGCCACAAAGAGACAAGAATTGCATACAAATTGTTCTTTGCCATTCCATTTCTGCTAATCCCTACCCGCTGCTCAGTGGCCTTACTCTTCTCTGGGCTCCTTCAGACCATTCCTACATCCCTGAGTCAGTTCAAACCATAATCAGGTTCCCACCAGACCTCCAGCTGCCACCTCCACAAATTCTTTTCCCACCTCCCATTTCCTCCTCTGCTGCATTCTATTGGCACTGATGGCCATGGTTTGTCATCCACACTGCTCACCTAAAGGTGCTTTATGAGAGAATAACAAAGCAAACAAAACCCAAAACTGAAACACACATGAAAAAAAACATGAAAAAAACATGAAAAAAAACCCACAGAAAACCAACAGAACTGCAGGGGCAATATGGACATATACTATGAGAAAAAGAGCAAAAAATTAAATGAATGTACAGATACTTTTTTGATACAAAATATATGTGGAAAGGAAACCATCTAAATTGAACATTTGTGCATTGAGAGGGTGGCTGCTCTGTTTGAGGCTGGGTTACTTGTTGCAGAGGCCCCTCTGTGAGAGTTCCCTCAGTTAAGGCATATAAATTCTCACAGCCTAATTTCCAGGAGTGCTCATCACCTCTCATTGGTTTCACAGCTTTAGGGGGACCTCTGCCATACTCAGTAAATGCCTAACTTTCAGAAAGGCTTTCCATTTGTCCTTTTGTAGACTGCAATTTGAATCCACAGCCTTTGCAAGGCTCAGAGGGCCAGAATTTGCTCTGTCAGACAGATGCAATTAGTCCCATCTGCACCTGCAATTCATTTACAATTTTCTGTGATTTCTAGTGCAAAACTGGGGGGTGGGAGGAAGGTTATTTGAGAAAAATCATTGTTGGGAAATAGAATTTTCTTGTAACATTAAGGAATCAACCATCTTGGTTGACAGGACAGGGAAATCAAATACCACTGTGCAGTCAAACCTACCCAGGAAGCAGCTAGGACAGTCCTTACATGCATTACCAGACCTTTCTTAAACATATACATGCACAAAACCACATGGCTGATGCTAAAAACTGATGCAAACAATGCTATTATTCCATAGTAATGCCCTCTGGAGTGACCAAGCTCATCTTGTATTTTGTCTACACGACCCAGGATCAATCTTAGTCTATTCCTGACATCTCTGTCTGCTGGTAGCAAGCATCAAACAACTTATCCTTAAACCAAGACAGTAGAAATGAGCAAGCAGCTGCTTGGTACTTAGTTGCCAGATGGGGTTAAACCATGACAGAGGCAATAGCATGATAATAGCTTTCATTGCCTTCCAAGGAACCTCATGCCCATAGTGCTATGTTCAGGTGTAGAGGCCAGAAATCTAAATCTTGATCTGTATTTACAAATGGATGCACAAAAGGCTGTATGTGCATGCCAGAAAATTACAACTGACTTCTGCTCTGCTGCTTGGGAGGAGTGAAAGGGTAGATGCACATCCTTGTACACCTTAGATCTACTAATATCTCTTCTGCAATTTGTTTTGTAAATCAAAATGATTTCACCAGATTCTTTCCTCACCCTACAAAGAATGGATCCTATCACATTGTCTTGCTGCAGTACAGGATGGGTGCAAGTATGTGGAATGAAAAGTATGAAGGCAACTCACATGATCACTGTAACACCATGCAATCAATTGCTAGGTAGTTCAGAGTGTGGGAAAGGTTCACCCACCTTCCTAGCACTGATTCATACCAATTTTAGTGTTAAAAGGGACTAGAATGGTCACTGGTATGACAGAATTTCACCCAGTAAAGCCCTTCACCAGACACATAACTTCTGAATGAAGCTGATCTTATTTTTAGAAAAGGCATCCAGTTTTGATTTAAAGACTTCACGTGACAATGAATCCAGCACAAGCCAAGGTAAATTGTTTAAATGATTAATTCCCCTTGCAGCAAAAACATACACCTATTTCTAGGCATAATACATCTGTTCCTCTTTCACTGGTTTTCCAGTAATCAGGGGAGATGCTCCTTTTGGTGAAATAGCTTTTTGAGAGATAAAACATTCTCAAAGCCATAGATATTACAGTCTACTCATCAATAGAATGGTAGATGCCTGGTTCGTATGGCTTGGTGCCTGCGGAGCTGAATCAGACCCGATGGGTGCTTCTTTCATGAACTGACACTGGTGTGGCCACGATTTGTACATTGCAGGGGGGAAAGGGAGAGGCTGGGGGGACAGAGCAGGAGGTGGAGCTGCCCACTGAGGGGATTCAGCATCACAGCTCTCTGGGGAAGGAGATGAGCATGGGAAACTGAACCAGCAAAACCACCTACCTTGCTTAGGACAGGAGTTCCTGAGCTGTTATCACAGCCCCCCACTGTCCATACAGTTCCGATTTTGTGACTTGACCAGGAACAGATTCAAACACAAATGGTAGGAAGGGTATTCAAGGGGCTGGAAAAGCTCTTAGCCCTGCACACATCACAGGACGTAAAGCAACTGCCTGCACAGTCCTGACGTAAAGGCTACAGTCAAGAAATCTGCCCCTCTTCTTGCCAGGATCTCGCAAACTTTGTCCAGAGACAAGCCAACAGCCTTACACTAGCAAGCATTAAGGGATGAAAGCTCAAAACTTTTCCATCTTGACAACAGCAGTGATTTACAACAGCACAAAAGCTCTGTAGAACAACTTAAAGCAAGGCTCCAAGGAGCAAGATTAGTTACCAGACAGCAGAAAATAGGAGCAATCAATTTTGTTCAGCCTAGGCTGAAGTTCTGCAACTTTCCTGAGGACTGAAAGAAACACAAAGGTGTTTGAACATCATTTTTTTAGCCACTGAATAGAAGATGTTCCAAAAACTCTTAGGGAAAAATACTGCTTGGCTTATGTTTGGCTTGTTGGGATGTATAAACAGAATTTAAATAAACAGAGATTAAGACAAATGAGGATGCAGTTAAGATTTTACTGTTCCTCCTGGGGCTAGTTTTTGCCATGCTTACTGCCATTAAATAGGACCTTGCTCCTGAAAGAGCTGACTGTGAACAGCAAGATTATTCAGAGAAAAAAACACTTTATACAAGAGCCTAGATCAGACTACAGGAAAAGAAAAGGCAGGATTTGAATAAAAGAGTGCTTTAGGCAATTGGACTTCAGCTGTGCTGAACTATATCCTTGGTTTCTCACTGTTCAATGTGTCGTCTTAGTTGCATATTGTCTCATTTTATCTTCAGTAGGTGATCCAGAAACAATAGGAAGAAGCAGACTAAAGGAAACAATGAGTGATGATGAGAGCTTTGAAGCAAAAGGGGTTTATAGTTGTGTTTTTTAAATAAAATGCTTTCACAGAAAGGCTTAACAGAATTCACCTAGGTTGTAATACCCTGCTAGATTAAAGGCTTAGGCACATTTGCAAAACGGAAATGAAACCTCTGTTTAATCATTGTATTATAATATTCATTAATATTACAACAGTTTCGAATTATACAATTACACAAATATTTTGCATTCTATGATTTGATTCAGTTATCTCATTTATTTCAGATTTTATTAGCTGTTTGCTTCAAATTCATTCAGTCAGATACTCATTTGGTTTGCAGCAGCAGTTCTTCATCCTAATGGGAAGAACAGAGCCACCTCTCGTATTTCAGTGCTGCTCGGGAGGCTAAGTCTTTGTTCCTTTCACACAGGTAGGTAAGTTACTCTCCTACCTTTCCCTAATTTTCTTAGAGGAAATGTCCTGGATAAATAACTGGTATTCTCTGCTTGTGGAAATCTTCCCAGCTGCTAAGGGTCTTCCTGCTCCCTTCTCTCATCCCTGAACCTGTTGCTGTAACACAGCTGGCAATTCCTGTCCTCTTCACTGGGCATCTCCCCCACCTTTAATGATTTCCTCTTCTGTCCTCCCATACTACAGTACAGATTAGAAGAAGGGGAAATGATGCAAATGTCTGCTGCTGAGGCCACTAAGATATGAAAAAGAGCATGTAACTAACTGCTTAGACTGTTTATACTGGTGCTGTTTATATGCAGGGTGAAAAGGAGGATTCCTCAGAGATTTGTTCAGCCCAAGCCTTGGAGAATTTTTTTATTATCTGTGCAAAAGTTACATACTCTCTCCTCCCCAACCTCCTCAATACACAGGGATTACCCAGTTAAACCCAATTATTTTAGGTTAACAAAACAAGTGAACAAAAAGAGACCAAAATGAAAGTCCCCATCAGGAGACCTCCACAAATACATTCTTGCTCCCCAGGAGTCCCTGATCTGGGAAGCAATTTGTTCTGGCAATAAAGTATGGGTTAAATACAATATATTGAAGTGTGTCTGTAAAAGCAATAGTTCCAATTTCCTTGTCCATTGCTGAGACATCTCCAATTTAGAGATGACTTGAGTATTTGGAGCCAAAGATCACTAGGTGTAATCCCTCTATGGTCTTAACTGTATCTATAAACAGATAAGGCAGATCCTCAAGAAAAGGTCACTCAAGTAGATCAACCTATGCAGACATACACACACACACACACAACCGCAGACACACACATTCTCTGTTCCAAAGGTTCAGAGCTAGAGGTAGGATTAAAGAAAAATTTAAGTTCCCACAGCCTTTTCCTGAAAGCGAATATATGATAACAGTTTGAATTGAATCATCAAAAGCAGTCAAAGTTGAGACTGAGAACAATAATAAAATGAGTGCTGCAGATTCACATGAGTAATAATTCACATGATTAATTCTGTTTAAGGGTTAAAAAAAATGGATAAAGCAGGATTACTGTAGCCAGCCTTAGGCTTTGAAAGATTTGAAGGCCCACAGAGAAAGAGACCCATTTCCAAGGTAGAGGAGTTCCTTCCAACTTGAACGGCAGAGGGAAGAAAATAAGAAAGAGTAACAAATGTGATGTTCTAATGCACTGCAAACTCAAAATCTTTCCTTTTTCACTGCAGAAGAATAAACCTGGAGTCACAATGTGATATAACCACACAAAATTAATAATACCTGCCATCCAGTACTTCAGGGGCTGAAAAAATAAAATAGCTCCTTCAATGCCATGTTGGCAAAGAGGGTCAGGCACATAAAATAACTGAGAAATACCAAGTACCTGCTTGTGAAAATTTCCTACTATTTCTCAAATAAGGATTACATTTGGAAAATAGCTTATACACATTTGGAAAAACAAAATCAGCTTGTT